TAAAGCACAGCATAGGGGATATAGTCAATAATCCTGTAATAACTATGCATGGTGCCAAGTGAGTACTTGAGCTATCAGGGGATCACTTTGTAAAGGATGTGATTGTCTAACCACTATGCTATACACCTGAAACTAATACAAAATAATATTGAATGCCAACTGTAATTGAAATAAAAGAATGACTGTATATGGATGGGAGGACCAGAAAAAGACTCAGAAAACACATGAGAGAAAGCAAAAAAGAACCATAGAGGGAGGAGGAGAGCAGGCTGGGAGATTAGAGAAAAATGAGTCAGACTGTCTTTTCTAATTGTTTAGCCACCACAAATTAATGAACAAGAGTAATTAATGGGCTCCTGTCCGAGATTTGCTATTTCAAATTTGCAATACATATGTATCCTGGGATTAGGACTCTCTAATAACAATTCCTGTCAGAGCTAAAGGAACCGAAGTCTCATTTTATACATAAGGAAGCTGAGTGCCAGTGTGGTGAAGGACTTACCCAATACCACCTGGTTAATTACTTAGAGACACAAGACCAGGATCCACCTCTCACAGCCCTGGCCCAGGGTTCTTGCAAGTACACCTGGCATGCATGGCTTTGGTAGCTGTAATTCATGAAACAGGGTATCTATGATCGTCTAAATTGCTTTACATGAAGCACATGGATTTTGCATCAAGTAGTTTTAATTATAAGGCTATAAATATGTGAAAGGGATCTGATGACATCTTATTAACTTGCAAGAGTGAGCTCAAGCAGTTTCTGGTGTGGGCACAGTCCCAAGAATGAGTTTTATAGTCAGGAGCTATCCGGGCTTCTCCCTCCCTCTTTCTGCCTCCTCCTTTCCCTTGTTTAAATTCTGTTTGTTTGTTTTAACCATGGAGAATATTGTATAGAAATCAAACATAAATCAAGTTATGAAAATGCTGAAGAAATATTTCATCCAAGTTGTTTTTCTTCCTTTTATCCTGTCATTTATTTGAATGATGGTGGGATTTAATCTCCAGAGAAAACTCTTTGGTACTCCAAATAGAAAAAAAAAAACCCAATGTATTTTGTCTAATCAGATACTAAGTGTGGCTGCTATTTTAACTTGTACTTCCATTGGAAATAGTACATTATTCTAAAGTATTCTTTTTAAAAAGTGCATGTAAAGAAGGAAGTTCATAGAACGCTCTCTCACATTAGCTGTTAGACTCCTGGACAAACTGGAAGCTGATAGCTTTGATAGTACTAAAGTGAGCTATGAAAATTCTTAGGGATGACTGTGGGAACAATGGCCTCTCCGACGGGTAGCCGCCTCAATAATAAGGGTTATATATCCGAGTCAGAGGTAGGATCCCTCTGGCTACACCCTGCTGGGATCAGGTTGGGATTCAAGGCAATGGTTTTTTATCCTGTTCTACTGAAGACGATCTCATGATGTCCCTTTGTAATTCTACGATGCTAGCTCTCTTTTCATCTGCGTCTCAATCATGTATGTAGCTCAAACAATCTAAAGAAGGAAAACAGAAACCACTCCAAGTGTCTGCAACAGAAGGAATTTAATGCAGGGAATTGATGACACCGGTGATGGCAGAGCTGAGAAGTCAATCTAGGGACAGTGAAGAAGCCCAGATCAGCAACGGCAGCAAGAGACCACTTCTGTCTCTAGGCTGTAATGTGCATCTGGTCATGATCCTCTTTATGGCAATTACGCAGGAGCTGCTCCGAGTCAGCCAAGGATTCTAAAAGCAGGAGCTATGCGCTCTGGAGATGTATAATCTGGTTGGAGAAAGCAGATATGCACAAGAAACCAAGAGCTTGATTAAGGGCTAAACCTCTGGGACAGATCCTAAGACCTGGGAGGGGAGAGCTTCATGGAGAGAGATCTCTGGTGCTTCCTGGGCCACTGTGGAGTGAGTTGAAGGACACTTTTCACGGTGTCACGTTGCCTAACTTAAAACTTTGACTCACCTGAGCTAAGGAACGCTGTCTGTCAATAAGCTTGTTAACACATTTTATTCTCTTAGAAACATTCATCTCGCATAGAGAAACAGCTTTTCCTCTCGATGAGTCAGAGTTGTGTTTATTCAGGGAGAAAGGAGACCTAGAAGAAAGCATTTTGCTCTTCTAAAGGACATTGGCAGATTTAATATTCGTGTTCAAAAAAGAATATCTGACCTTGATAGGGTTAACTGGAAGCTAAATGGCAAGGTCAACAAAGCTTTGGGGCATCTGCAATCCCTGTTCTTCACGCCCCCTCCCCTTTCTTCATCCCCCTCCCTCCTCACGCCCCTCCCCTTTCTTCATGCCCCTCCCTTCTTCATGCCCCTTCCTGTTCTCCATGCCCCTCCCCTTTCTCCATGCCCTCCCCATTCTTCATGCCCCTCCCTTCTTCACTCTCCTCCCCTTTCTTCATACCCCTCCCCTTTCTACTTGCTTCTTCCCTTCAGGCTGGGCACTCAGAACTCTCATCTGCTCTTCTTACATTCCTCACTTATTAATTCCCACTTACTTGAAAGGATCAGATGGAAGTAATTTACAATGTAGAGTAAATTGAAATCAATATAACATATATGGCTGTCTAATATACCCATACAGTGAAACTGACCCTTAACATTGGCATATATTTTGGGAGAGTAAACTTTTAAAACTAGGATATGAAAAGTAACAAAAGGCAAGATTATTCTGAAGAAGTAGTTTGGGTATAGGATATCTAAAAACTGGTGTTCATATAATCGTATGAATATTTAGGAGAACATTTAAATACTAAAATAAAAAAGAATTTTAAAATAGCACATGTATATCAGGTCATAAGATAAAGTTTAATACATTTGATCATGTTAAAGGGCACAAAACACAGTCAGTCTAACCAAATTTCAGGCATGCATTTACATAAATATATTAAATTAAGAAAAGAAATTGTACACTTAAACATCCTTTTCACCTAAAAAAATCATTAAATCCACAGATCAACAATAAAAACCAATTCTCTGCATTTACCACTTCAAGATACAATTGTTCTATTTTAAAGATAACACAAATACACTTGTTAGAATTTATATGCATTATACATATATTATATATTACATAGATAGTGTGTATACATATGTAGTGTTTGTACAGATAGATAAATATATATACATGGGTGTGTGCACACGTACAGATACACACAGGTGTACTTTAGGCCATCTGTACTATTATTGCTGGATTCTAATGTTGAGCTGAATTGGAGCTGGTTGGGTGTGATTAGTGTCCTTTACTTCAAACATGTTCATCACACCCACTGAGCTCACAATCCCCCACTATTAATGTCCTTGCCTTTTCTAAATCACAAAACCACGCTAGGCACTTCGATAAATATTTGTCGAATTAATGAATGGATGGATGGCTGAATAAAGACTGATCAGAGGAATGCATATTATAATAACTTGGCTAAGTAAATCAGATTAATTCCAATTTAGAGGGATTATCTGAGCCAATGACTTGGGGTGTTACTTTTCAGAAGAACATTTATAGAAATCCCAACTAGTACATATATTAGCTCTGCTCCCTCAAATGTGTACCTGCTTTTACACTTGTTCACACAGTCTTCTGCCTCTTATTAACAGGGATTCAAGCAAGGATTGGTTCTGGTATCTTCTGTGTGGGAGATTACTGACAAATTGAAGGAAAATGAACCACCAGGAAAACCAAAATGTATTAGAAGAATGACAAAGGCAACCATTCTTTAAAACTGCACAAAATCAATCACAGATAAAGCCCGGAAAAACAAGGGAATTTCTTTTCAGATTTCTCTTATTCTTGTCAAGGACAATATTTGGTAGTTTTTTTCATTTTAATTAGATGGGTTTCTTTTAAATAAATAGTCCTCTTTCACATATCCTAGGGAATCAAGCTCCAAAAATTCCAATATACCTTAGTGTCATCTATCCTGTTACTACATAGTTCTTGGCAAAATGCATGTCCAAAATGTCCTATAATGAGATATGGGAAATATCTAATAAGGCTGTCAACTTCATTTTTCAATAATAGTATTATGAATAGAATGTATTCATGTATTAAATAGTATTAGGCTCTACTATACATGAAGTCTTATTTTATTCTAGGAAAGTCATGTCTCAGATTTTAAGACTATGAGGTAAAGAAAGATCCAACATGTATTTTGGGCACAGACTATACCAAACCTGATTATACACTGTTCATGTGAACGGAAGCTATTGGCTAGCTATTTCTTAGCTCAAAAGGAAACGTATAAGAACTAGTTTCTAACTGTGAAGACAAAGTTTATTTTATATTTAGCTGTTACGAATTCCCCATCACTGCTAATGCTGTGTTCTATCTTATGTGCTAAAATGCCTTTTGAACTTCAGAGATTATAGTCAATTGAGATAACTCACAAACTTTTAAGTTAATTTGCTTATATATGTGTATATGTATTTTGATTTTAAGTAATACATCATCTACATATGCAAAAACACCCTGACTGGAATATGGTGTCAGACTTTGGGATGCATGTGAGATGTAACTTTAGAAATCATATTGATGCTTTTGGAGTTTTTTTGGAAAGCCACTATGTATGTAGTCTATCTAAAAAAAGCAGTAACAGATCTTAAGCCTACTTTTGTGTTGAAACAAAGGATCCATTACTTATTTTTTATATTCCAACCAATTTATATATGAGCTATATAAAAGAAAGCCAAGTAAATGACAGATCTATCTTGGGTTTGTATTTAATGAAGGATTTAAGAGAAGTGCTAATCTGATAAATGAACAAATCTCTTCCTGGCAGCTGGGGAAACTACTACTGTGACTGGAAGGAAAACGGCACCCTGCCGCTCCCTCACGGTCTCATGAATACATTTTACTCTGCTGAACACTTACTTTAAGGCAACTTCTGAAACTTATGAGGAGATATTTAAGAGAAAGAAGTGTTGAAGTTGGCCAGGAGTAGTGTCTGACAGGTTCTATGATCATGTTTTTAATATTTTTAATATCAAAATGCTTCTATTCTTAGGTTTCCCTCCTTCTCTGACATCCTATGAAGTATTGGAGGTAGGACCAATTCGTGTTGGTGTGATGAAGAGAAGGTAAGAAAACAAACACGTATTTCTTTTGGCTATTCTAGAGAGGAACTCTGCAGGCATTGGCAGCGTTCACAATAACAGGCCCACTAACTTCCTGAGGGTAGTGTAGAAATAGGTACATTTTCTGGACTTGGAACTTTTGTCTGAGTTCTCTGCAAATTCAGGTCTCGACTGAGGTGGGGAGTGGGAGGAAGGAGACTCTGAAGTCTCCACTGAGGAACTGTTCCTTATTTGTCCTCATAGCTTTGGAGTAACCTTCTTCAGAGTAGACTGCATAGTTGTTGGAGGTTGTTGCTTGAATAGGAAATAGCTACTAACTTTCCCTACTGCTAGCTGAAGCTCTCTCCTGGGGACAGTTTTATCTTTCCTGCCTCTTTGATGGAACACCAGCGGAGCTGGAGCATCCGGGCCGGTAGTCGTGTCTGCCTTTGGTCACTTCTTTCAGTGGTTGTGATAGAGCAGTCTCGTATGTTCATGTTGATCTACTGTTCTCCAGGATACAGAGTCTGAGCCAATGCAACACCAGGAGGTGGTAGTTTTTAGGAAAATAAATAACAGATCATAACCAGCAACATCAACAGTAACCTAGCTCAGGACATCTTCATTATGGGTGCATTGAGGGCATGTCTGTTTTGTTAAAAAAACAAGGGAGAGAGAGAGAAAGGTGAGGTTAAAAGGAAGAAGGCTACATGGGGGAGGGGTAGGAGGAGGAGGGAGAAAGAGAGAGAGAGGGAGAAATAGATATCATAGGTAATACTCTGTAGAGATGCTCAGAAACTTTATTGATCAGCCAACTACAGCTGCCTGTGGTATACCTTATTTTTCCTCTCAAAAATTTGATTCCGTTTTTATGTTTCAAAGCTAAGGAAGTTAGCCTAATAAAAGTTTAAATGAATGTGTACTCTGAAGGACCCTAGATGTAGCATCTAACCTCATGACTTACACCTAGTCGGCTTCGTTGTATACTTTATGACTCAGAGATAAAAAAAAACATCAAAAAGAAATATATTCAAATTGTTAGTACATTATTATATAATTATTTTCAAAAAACACAGAAGTACCTGTTCTGAAATATGTAAATGAAAAAAGTTTTCTATTTAGGTTGTGTATATATATTGTATGTGTAGGTTTCTTTGCTCTTTATGAGACAGTCCATTAATCTGAGAAAACATCTGAGTATTCTTTGTGATCAACTAAAATATATATTTTACAATACCCACAATGAAACAAAATTCCAAGGAGAAAAGGTATGGATGCAAGTGCTTTTTATCATTACTCAAGTTTCCGAAATCGCCCCTTCTTTTCACTTTAATGATGTGCCAATTCAGTTTTCTTCTCATTACCTTACACAACTGGCTAGAAAACAAGGTTCTATTAACTGGGACAGGAGCGCCGTAGAAGCCATGGGAGAAAGTTTCCCCCCAACTCTTCATAACCTACCATAGCAGCACTTCATATTAAGCTGACACCCAAATATCAAGCTCTAGAATGGACAAAGGCATAACAATATACACTTTTCTATTTCACTGTTTCATCCGGACCTCACACACCTGCATTCACGCCGAGGGCGTTTCCCTTCCAGTCTGACTGTGTGCTTTATGACCGAATTGGAGATGCTGCCATTTGTGGGGTGAAACAATAACTTTCCCTTAGCTCCCACTCTTCAACCAATTCCTATCTGTCTCTCGTTATGAATCACTAAAGACAATTCTCCAGTCACATATTTTAAAAATCGACTTGAAAGAAAGCTTCAAAAGATGTTTGAAATGACCACTGAGTTTAAAATAGGTAGCCATCCATTAACCATTGCTATTTACGCCTCTCCTACGAACAGAAAGGAATGACTCTATAATGCGTTGCCTTTCTTTGCTTGGGTGTAACATCCATGGATCTTGCTACCTTCATTTTAGAAGATTGTGGTCGTCCATGCTGATGACTCACAACAGAAAAGGCAAAGACACCTGGGGTGCATATGTTTTTCTAAGTCACCTGAAACTCTTTCACTTGGGACAGGACTGTATTAAAAAAATCTGGGCCTGGCCAATTTAATGTAGATATTTTTAAATAGGAGAACTCACGGCAATATAACACATTGTCTTTGGGAAATCTTACTTTGGAAGAGATGGAAAGATTAAGGACGTAAGAAGAAACACTGGATTGTTCAGATTTTGCCGACTATCTAGCAGTATCCTTATTGTTTTCAGTGAAACTATGACCGGGAGAATGTGTAATAAAACTGCACAATTTGACAGATTTAGACAGCTGGCTCCCTCACAAGAAGCTCACATTTTGTTCATGTCACCACGCTGAATAAGGAACGATGAGGTTAGGTAAGGTCCATTTACAAAAATGGTTGTCAGGACATTTTTTTTTTTTTTTTAATTGTAAAACTTTCTGCGATGGAATTCAGTAAAAGGGCTATGAAGAGAAAGCCATGGAGACAAAAGACTGCTATTAACCTACAGATGCAGGCTGCTGCAGGGTTCATTGCAAGATTTGTCATACTGTTGGTCCAATGAAGTCTTAGTGTGACTAGAGGGGACCACCCCTTTTCTGGGGTAAGAGGGCAATTTGGTCTCCATGCTCATTTAATCCTGAGACTTCTTTGAATAGACTGTCAACGGAATCTAAATTGTGCAGAATTATGCATGCACTTTTTAACGCGGGCTATTGTTCGCTAAGCACTGAACCGGGATTTCTCAACCCATTTCCATTTGGCATGAGGTCACTGGAAACTTAAGTAATCATATACGGAAGACAAGAGCAGTGCGCTTAACCAATCTCTCCACATCGTGGTTTCTGTATAAATGCTCGCTGTGCTTTCACTGCACCTCTTCCTGCTTTAAAACAATAGAGGAACACTAGTTACAAGATTTTATGCTTTTTAATTGAGGTTCGGATTGCTAAGAGCAAGGAGCAGGTGTGGGAAGTCAGCCTGCGCTGCATAATCTACGCTGCGCTCCCATTTAGATGCCGCAGGGACAGCTGTTTGCCGAAGGGCCGCCCGCAGTGGGCGCGCGTGTCACGGGAAGGTGTTTGTTCGGCAGCGCAAAGAGGCTTTCTAATTTTGTTACAATCCGAACGTGGAGAGCTGGCCTTGAATACCATGAAGAAACACATCTATCAGACTTTTTGTAGTTGGAAGTGAGAACATAGCATTTCTTTCCAAACCTGAACAGAACATTTACAGAAATGTATTCATACATTAACCAGAGAGGAATTTCATTGAGCTCTGAAGGACCATATACAGGAAAAGTCATATTTGGCAAGAGTTATTATTTTAAAAATCTGTACAAGCGACAGCTTACATAGCCGGGATTTGTTAAAAACGAATGAGCTCTTCTCCAGTGAGGTTCGATTGAGTGTGCGACCTGTGCCGTTTTAATCGCAAACACCGCCAGTTCTGCTACGGTGAAGAGCTCTTTACAAATGTCTAATGCTGGGCTTTTCTTGCGTTTCCATCCGTCGTTAAGGATTACATGTTGGCACAAGGACACATTGCTACATTAGCTCCACGGCACAGTTAAGACTGTTTGCTTTCTCACTCCCCTTCTTTCCAATTAAGTTGGTGAAAAATGTAACTTTAGTATTTTACAGGACAGGGTAAAGGTGTTTCATCTAGGTGATGTCTATATTATAAAAATAAAATAAAAAATATAAATATGTAACACAAACCCAGTGCCTATTGTTAAATAAAATATACAATAAAAGCAGACCTTTTAGGAAGATTGGTTTTAGAATATGCTGTTATGATTTAATTATAAAACACTTGAAAACAATCTTGATATTAAGCTAGAGTAACCAGGCTTCTCGGCCAGTAGAAAGGTAAGTGCGCAACATTCTTGTAATTGGATACAATGATAAAAATGAAGATTACAATTTTAAATCAAGTTGCCCGTTTGCAAATTCATCAGGGAGTTCTGAAACATTCTCACATTATAGTCCTTTAATATAAAAAATATTGCCTTTTTTATTAGATCCATCAGATTGCACAGTAATGTTTCAAAACTCCATTAAAGTTGACTTTAGTTATTACAGACAGAAAATTCCTGGGAAGTCAAATAATCTCTTCTGGTGATATAAAAATTCCGTTATCAATTTACAATGGAATTTCTGTGTAAATTACTCCACACAAGGAAATATATAGTTTTAAAACCCATCTGTTATGCGGGGTTGTGAGTGTGTGTGTGTATGTGCGTATGTGGACAAACGTGCCAACATACACACACAGAATCTGCACATTTCTGGAAACTATTTTTAAATTAATAAAAGAAAATGAAATCACAGGAGTGTGTAGCAGGATAACAGTCTTTCTTTTTAATGACAGGATAAAAAATAAATGCCCATTGGAAAGGAATAGTCAAACAGTCCCAGAAACTATACAATGTAACTTGTTAGGTCCAGCAAATAAGATGTCATGTCAATGATCTGATCAAGAATACCTGCCCTGGTCACTCTGCGGATGTTTCTGTCCACTTGTTCACACTGAGGACCAAGATATCCTTTTTTACAGAGGCACTTGTTGGGTCTAACACAGACACCTCCGTGACGACATGCTGGCTCACATTTTGCTGGGAGGGAAAGAAAAAGAACAATAAAATCACACTCACATTGTGTACGTCAGAAACAGCACAAGTACTTGATGAGTAAGGGAGGGAAAGGAAGGGAAGGGAAGGAAGTAGAAACCAGCACACAAAATGATCCAAAAAATAAAGACAAGAAGGGAAGAACACGGTTACACCCACAGTTATTTGGGGGCCAGGCCTTAGCAGAGAATGGGAGACATTTCCAGAGGAGCAGAGATCATGGGGAACAATTTCAATCCCTTGCAAAACAGTCTTTAAAACCAGAATTTCAGTTCTTTTCAAATCTCGGCTCCACTAGGGCATTTCCAATGGGGGCGGAAGGGCCTTCCAAGTAATGCTATGCTCCTGCTCTTCCAGGGTTAGGACCTCAGTGTGGGAAGGCCTGGCCCAGGAAAGAGGCCCAGTAGCTTGAGCATCTCCAGTCAACATAATGGGATGACCAGGTCTGGCTCTTGGTTAGATGGGGTATCTGCCTCCGAGGCTCCCTGGGACCCCTCCTCCTCGCTCTCAGGGGCACTCAGCGTATGCTTCCTCTCAGAGCACATTGCGGCCCTTCCTGGGTCAGCGCGGCTGGCCAGTGAAGGATGTTCTCAGCAAGCCTTCTCAGGGCTACTCCACAGCACAGCATTGGTTAGAATGTAAAGATTTACTGCTAAAATGAGATGGAGAGAGAAAATTGGGTATATAACATAATTGTCTTTTACTGATAGGGTAAATCTGGGGAGTGCAGCCCTGTAGGCAAAATCGAATTCCTTGAATACATTTCCTTATACTTTCAGGGGACAAGGTCATTTTAACCTTTGCAAATGCATTAATCAAAATCCAGTGGTCTGTAGTTGATACATGGAAAAGGAAAGAACAAAGAGGTAATAGACTGTTTCTCTTTTAAATTTAAGGGAGATGAGTAAATGATGTGAGTATAGGAATAAATTTCTTCCTTGGGTTGCAAATATCATGAATGGTTTCATTTCAGAAATGGTTCTGGTTTATCTTACATATTCAAATTATTTAAATTGACCTAGTGGAAAGATTACTTTATTTAACTAAAACTTCATATTAACTTAAAGACTATCTACTTTTATTTATATCATATATTATTATTAGTATCTATTATAGTATATATATAATGCCACCCATATCCAAAATAATGTTTCCCTTCAGTTTAAACATACTGTTGCTAGAAGGCACTCAATAAATATTTGTTATCTAGTAGTTTGAGAAGTTAAGTAAATGCAAAGCAAGGAATAAAACAGAATGGACACTATATGGGAGAAGCAGAGAGAATACATATTGTCCGGCATCAGAGGGAGCGGAGGGAAGATGTATTATCAGGAATTAGAATATTAGTGCATTTGAACACTGAATCTCATTTTTTTGTAAACTAAGGCAAAAGGAGACAATAAAATGTAAGCATTTGTTTTAAATAATGAAATTACTTAAATTTGTTTGGGTTTTCGTTACCATAGCTCTTTCCTAGATATGTAGCCATAGTATTAATCAATCATGTAATGTTATTAGTGTGGAGACAATTTAAGTTGAAAATGTAGACTGTATATGTAATTTTAAATGTTGGCTACTTTTTGTCATGCAGTAAACAAAGTAGACAAGTTATGGTTGTAATTGCTCTGAAACAAATACAAGTTTAGGATAAAGAAAAAAGATAACATTTATGAACTAAGAATGGGACTTTTAATTTCATTGGCAAGAGATACAACATTTAAAAGAGCAGAGGTCACAATTTTTTTGTATGTAATATGTATATGCTGGTTGTTGAAAATGCATTTTTATCCTTATGGCAACCTTTTTTTCCAGTTTTATTGAGAAATAATTGACATACATCATGCTTTGATGCTTTGATTTACACAGATTGTGAAATGATTACCCCAATAGGTTTAGTTAGCATCCATCATCTGATATAGATACAATGAAAAGAAAGGAAAAAGCTCCTGAAAATGCATTTTCAACATATACATCTTAAGTTCTAAGTATCTAAAGTTATGTAATTTTCTTACTTCACACCAAGTAGAATCTGAACATCACTGCATGTAACTGAGGAAAGCCCTGGTTAAAGGATGGAGGAACCCTGGAATAAACCTCCTTTGCTCTTTCTGAGCATCTATACACCTAGTTGATGGTTCACAAAGGAGTGGCAAAAAGGATTTAAAAATCCCATATATGCCTCGAGGTCATTGCATTTCCCCCTTTTATTTAGTAATAGCTGCTGAAGAACCCTGCTTTTAGTGCACTGTAGCCAGAAAGCAAGCAGTTAAGTTAGAGAGGCATTTATGGGGTGTCTGGAAAATGCTGACACTTGCAGAGGGGCTTTGCAAGCACGAAGCCATTGGCTGGTGGGAAATCTCAAACCCAGGACCGGGAGCCTATAGAGATGATCTGTTTTTAATTTTTACTTTTGGAAAGGATGCAATTATTTTAAAGCCTTTTATGTTTCTGACTAACTTATGTATGTGAGTTGTTTACATTAAGAAAATGGGAAACATTTCATTTACTAGTTCAAGAGCAGACCGAGCATTAATATTATTGTAAAACGACTGAATGTGGAACACTCCATAATTCTAAAAGAAATAACTTGGTGTTAAGTTCCTGAGTTCCTAAGGCCTGTCCCACGCCCAGCCTTTCCCAGCGTCGATGGAAATACTAACCGATTCTGCAGAAGTCCCCCTCCCAGCCCGGGCTGCAGCAGCACGTTCCCGTGGGGGTACAGTAGCCATTCCGACAGAGCCGGGAGCACTCGGAGGCGAGCATCTGGGCCGGCTGCACGGCCGCCCTGCACTCCTCGGGCACGGGGGGTCTGCTTCGAAAGACAACGGTTGGTTGAAAATCAATACTGGGATGAAATCTAGTGGTTCTGTAGCTTACAAAGCATATCTCTTGCTTTCTAAGTAGACATTTCTTTTAAGTGACTCAGAAAAATTGACAATTTTCTTTCTTTTTTTTTTTGATAACTTTCTAAGACTAGTAAATACACGCCGGTGAGGAAACAAACTAGCCAGTTTTGAACCAAAGAAAACATAACATTGTAAGAAACTTTGTTATGATCAAAATCCATTGATTAAGAATATATATTATATCGATATTTTACATTTTCAGGCTAAGAATTTCTAGCAATTACAATTTAAAAAACACACACGTATAGTTATTTTATAAGTATTTTTTTTCCAGGTCTACAAAAATGTTTTAGGCATAGTGCCTGAGATAGGTTTCACTTATTGGCATATTTAGCAATACCAAATATTGAAGGTATTCAGCAGAATGAATGACTATAGTTTAAAAAGGTTGGGAATCCATGTTTGTTTCAATTTTACATTTCTTTTGAGGTACTTTTTCTAGATTGATTGTTTTGAAAGAATATCACACTATGTGTGTGTGCTCTACTGACTCAAAACCTCAACTCTTTATGCAAAAAATGATACAGACATAGATAAATGTGTATATATACATTTTCTGCCTGCTGTAACGAAAAAGAATGCTATTGGTAGCAAAGAGAAACACCTTATCTGCCAAGGAAAAAGTCATAGATTTTCTTTTAATTGCTCTATAACTGCCCTCATTTAGAGAGGGATCAAGATGCCTTCCGAAGGTTTTTATGGTTCTTGCTGTTTCTGAAAGAAGAGCCTGTGTTTCAAGCTGGGCCAGGCTGGAACCATGGTCACAATGAACTACTCACCACCTCTTACTCTTTGGGGAAAGTGGGCAGTGTTACACGCCTACCAGTCCGTTACCTGTGCCCCGGTGTGGGGAAAGCTCTTTTCAGTGAAGGAATGTAAACAAACGCGTCACCACCAGTCACACTGCCATCATTAGGATGGCCGGAGCAGTTGGGCTCCTTAAGTACCATATCCAAGAAGGCGATAATTATAGGTCACAACCACCACAAGAGGTAAATGATGTAGCTTTCTGAGAGAAGCAAATAATTAGGTCCTTTTGACTCCGCTTTCCTGAGATAGGTTGTCTTGTTATGCCCCTGTGGGCACTGTGAGCAGCAATGAAAATTCTGGGTTTGGCTGTTAATACAATGACTCAAAACCATATTAAAAATGTGTAAAGACTTCTTTAGCTCTTCTCTCCAGTAGAAGTCTCAGTCTAAGTGGAAAGTGCTGTGCTTTACAACTAACGTGACAATTCAGAAAACCCCCTTAAATCTACTCAACCTCTTATTTAAATCTAGAAATGGTCAATTTCCAGAAAGGTCCCTAAGGCAATCGGTGGACTGAGCATATTTTTACTCAGAAAACATTAACGGATATTTTCCATGTGTTTCCCAAGTGTGTCTTTCTGGGAGTAAGGGACGGTGGGATAAGGGAGAAAATGTTAAATGGTGATGCCAAGGAAAGTAAGGGCACGAACTCTGCCTTCTTCTCATTGTTGAATAGCCCAAGTCTGCTCTTTCCTCCTCATATAAAATTCCCACTCTGTGAGATGACGGTGGCTTACGTCTTTGACCATCAGAAGAGCCACTTTTAGCCTGGCCGGTGTGGCTCAGCAGTTGAGCATCGACCTAGGATCCAGGAGATTGTGGTTCGATTCCCGGTCAGGGCACATGCCTGGGTTGCGGGCTCAATCCCCAGTTGGGGGCGTGCAGGAGGCAGCCGATCAATGACTCATCATTGATGTTTTTCTCTCTCTCTCTCTCTCTCCCTTCCTCTCTCTGAAATCAATAAAGATATATTGAAAAAAAAAAAATAGAGCCACTTTTTAGTAGCCATGAAGTTCTCCTGCATCATAGGCCGCAATCATTTACCAGGTGGCATTCAGTAAACAGGTGTTCAGATTTTACTGCTAACTGGAATTCTGTTATCCAATTCCACTTTTTATTCACTCGTTCACCCTTTTTCTGACTCATTCAAGAAAAGAGACCCAGAAGTGGAGTGTGTCAAAAATGTATTACATGTTATATGTGATGCAAAATGTGGAGGCGCACTGCTCATGTGCTACTCGACAGTAGGGCTTACGCCTGAACAGGTGACGCTAAAGAGAAGACGTCATTTAGATCAAGAATGTCGGTGGCTCTGGCTGAAGGACGACAACCAGGAGACGCTGCCTGTTTGAGGCGCGTGCAGGGGTGTCGATTCCGTGGGGTTCACCGGGGAAAGGAAGGCAGACATGAGAGGAGGGTCCGGCTCTGAAGTGCATGCGGCTCTGCAGTGAGCATCCGATCCTTGTTTCCACGCTGACCCTCCAATTAGACGCTTTGACTGTTCTTCACCGAACATTCTATATACAGGACGTGCAGATTATGGGCGGGATTCTAAGCTGTTTCTCTGCCTAAGATTTAGTAAACGCTTATCCACCTACGGATGGAATTATTTCATATTTGGGCTTGTTTACTTTAGGTGTGGCTGTCATATACATAAATACTATGATTTCCTTAAGTCTTTAAATACCTGGGAAAATCATCTTTTTCTTCTTTTATGAATTTAACAACTAACATTCCTCACTTAGCATGTCCAGTAAGTCCTCTCTCTTCCAAACTGTTATTCTATTGGGAACCCTGTAACATAAAAATTACATAAAACACAGCCCATTTCTCACAGGGCTTCACTTCTCCTAAGGAAGGGGTTATCCCTCCTTTTCCCTTCCCAATTGGAATTAAAGCCTTCTGAGGACAAAAACTACATATTCGAACCTCAAGTCCAGCCATTACTCGGGCAAGTGCTGTGCTCTTCATGGGGATAAGACAAAGACAAAACAGAGGCCCGATGCTCACGGAGACACGGTGGGGAAGACAGGCGTGCCACACAAAAGGATAAATCGGTGTGGTCTTTGTTACGACACAGGCACGAATGAAGTAACCCCAGGAAAGACGAGAGAGCAATTAGTTCAGGATGGAGGGGTGTTGTAGAAAGATGGCATTTAAGCCACCGCAGTATCTTACCTCCCTCAACTACTGACATTCATAGGAGCTAGGGACACACTACAGAGGCATTCAACGAAGGTTCGTTAAATTGAATTGAATACACATAGTAGAAACTTTCTCAAACACTTTTTCTGGAATATAAACTCGATGAAGATAAATTCCCAAATTTTGAAGTTGTATGTTTTGATTCACTTGTCAATGTTGACAAGAACAAGTCATTTAAGCAACAGATTTTTAAACTCGACTAAAATGATTTAGTAAAAAAATGAGGGCAATATGCAGTTTTTCTCTTTAAAACGTACACCTTCCTCTAGAAAACCCTCTTTTACAAATGTATGTGGCTGTTTTATGCAAGATTAAATCTGCCTTTGTCTCCAGTACCACAGTATCTGATGATACATTGCCTTGCAATGCAAGTATAACCACCGCCATTGTCCCAGGCAGGCGAGAAACATGGGAATTCAAAGAAATGCTTTTAAGAGTTTTCGACTCTTAACAAATGAACCTCATTTTGAAGAATGTGTTTTTCTCTATTCATATTCTCCATTTTATGTCCTTTTAAGAAATGCCATTTATAAGCGGTGCTTCAATCAAGTTTTCATAGCAATCTATACAATTACTCTAAGAACTGATATTCCAATATTTAAAACTGATAATTTAAGAAAGTCTATAACATATTGTACAGGGCAGAAAATTCCTTTGAATGCTGTGGTCATAGGTCACATCTCCAGGAAACAGAATATACATATAAGAAGAATTCTATAACCACTTAAAAATAACATGGTCATTTGGATCATTTTTTTCCATAAATTATTATATAATATTTTCTATTTGTTTTGAAATTGGGGATGGCTTCATGTTGCATTGTATGGTTACAAACGTATGGTTCATACATAAACACACACAAATCTTGGTAAAGTATGAGTAAAATTCCAGTTATGCTTAGGCGGTTACCATTTACCATATATATTCTGTATGCACGCTCATCCATTCATGAGAAATTTCTACTTTGCTCTCATCTCATTTTTTTAGTAATATGCCTTTACAATTTCAGATGCTGTATTGCAGTTTAGAAAGAATTTGTTAGTTAAAAAAAAGTATTGTGTGCCACAGCATAAAATATAGTACATTAAGAATAAAGTCTAACCTGGCAGATACATCCATTTTTAGTTATTGGACATATAGAAAAATAACAATAGCAAAACTGTGGGACATGCTTCCTTGTCTTTTAGATTTCAAATCCACCATGCTGAATGGATTTTTATAGGGCATATACTTGTTCATGACCTCTAGTGTTAAGAAATTCTGTCATGTTTGAAAACTAGTCCCTAGCGGAGCCTGTGTCCCTGTTAATAGCTGAAAGGTCAATGGAGCTGCTAAACAGTTTGTATTACTGTCAGGGTGGCCATGAAAACACCGCCTGCAGCAAGAGGACTTGGCAGCTGGGTCAACAGGCACTGTGGGGATTTATCAACCTAGGGGGGCCACTTGCATAAAACTTTGACTGATGAATTGGGACTAGACTGGCTTATTGGGCTAAAGCCTCTCTATTATGCATGACTTTCTTTGGGATGGCAGAGCTGCCTGCCAGCTCCCTGCGACATATGCAAAGGATAAACAGAACCGATTTCCTCTTACGAAGTGATTTTTTTGAAAAAAGCACTCCTCAGCATCCAGTGTAATAAGGAGTAGGATGAAGATATTTTAAGAAAATAAACAAAGGGCAGTGAGCGGGGCTGTGGAGGGGAATGGTAGGGAGGAGGCAGGAGGAGCAGTTTTCGATATTGGTCACACAGGAGTTTGAGGTACAACATTTCTGTAAAATGACCTCTCAAGCCTGGAATGTGCATTGTTCGTTTATAGACCTCGTAAGGGAACGGTCTGTGTGACTTGGTTGGGTAACAGATAAGCAGTATGTTAAAATACAGCACGACTGAGTACAAGGTAATTAAATCAGTGTGATTAAGAATAATTTTGTACAGATTCCTGGAGAAATAACCCCGGAAATGTTTCAAAATTTAAAAAGGGGGAGAGAGAGCGAGAGAGAAGGTCATTTGGTTTCAGTTCATCTGAAACAAAAATGAAAGAATCTTTGTCAAAAGTGTAAAAAAAAAAAATGTTGTTCTATAACAATAAAGCTTGGAAAATGCACAGCTCTATTGGAATTCTCTAGTTTCTATGCCCCAGGAGCACTGTTTGACCCTGAAAAGATTTCATAAAGAGCAAGCATCCAAGGCATGTCTTGGATATTTGAAAACTAGGCATGAAGAGCTCTTTACAGCTCCATGGACACCTTTACCCTAACTTTGGAACTAAGACAATCTGAAATGTTGAGAGGTCACCTGAAAATAATTCTTCAGTGCATGGAATGAACACCAACAATACTGCAGAGTTTAATATGTTTTAAATATATTATTTAATGATCTTCATAGCAGTCTGCAGGAAGGAGGCAGGGCAGGGTGATCATCAGCACCATATCAAAGGCAAAGGGTCACACTGTGGGAAATCAATTAGTGCAGGGCCCGCACTAAGGAAGATTCAGAGACAAGACCAATGGTATCCCAGCCCTACCAGGCTAGACATGTTCCTCCTCTCCACCGGTCTCAGACAGCACTACTAAGAGAAACTAAGATGACCGCCCAGCTCTTGTGCTCACTGGGTTGGGATCTTTTCTGGAACTGCTGGCCGAAAGAGGTCCCCAAATAAGGCATGCAGAACCCGGCCCTACAGACTTTGGGGGACCCAGTGAGTTGGCCCAGCAAGCTGGGTGACTGGTATGGGCTTGATCTCAACGCCACTCTGCCGTGAGATGTGACTGCTCCACCTCGGAAGATACTCCTGGGGCACGTTCAGTGTTCTGACACGGAGGCGAAGTTCATCCCTTTGCTGCTTTTTCTTTAAATAAACTCTAGAGTTCTAGCGAAGCCTTAGAGAAACCTGGCTGTGTTCTCACTGAATTTTCTTTCATGATAAATAATGGCATTTAGTTTTTATAAGAGGTTATCTTGCCATCTTTTTCTGAAAAGGACGCCCCCTGTAGATGATTTTACACTCACGTAAATGATTAAGTAACATATAGCCTCAGGCCACACTGTCCTTACAGACTGAGGGGTGATGCTGGAAGCTTGCCAGCTTTTGCCAAAGTGACTTAAGAATATTACATATGGTTTATAAACTCCCTCATCTTTCTTAAATGTGAGTGTGTGTATGTGTGTGTGTGTAGGGGAAAATAGAAAAAAAAAAACCCACACCAAATCCTATGGTAAGGAAGTAGTTCTTATGACATCTAATATAGAATATAAAAATTTTATAATTTGTTGTTCCTCTCTTCCAGGGCCAGGAGTCCATCGATGTTTGAAAGTTATTCTGAAAACATTATCCTNTCTTCCAGGGCCAGGAGTCCATCAATGTTTGAAAGTTATTCTGAAAACATTATCCTAACAAATCCAGGGCTCCTCCACAAGAATACAGTTAACCTCAGATTTTAATCTGAGATAGATTTTTGATATAACAAGAAATGTCTCCATATTGTTTTTTCAGTTGATGACGCTCTTTCTTTAATTTCTCCCTCAAAAGCTTTAGAAAAACACTTTTGCTTTGAAGCAGACATCCTGAACACTGCGAGGCTAGTAATTAGCTTGTGTTTGCAAAATAACCCCACTCACATACACTAGAGTGTCTACTCATATAGAAATGCAACGCATCTAGACAGAAATACTACAATAATAAACGCTGACATCCAAATCAAAACAACATGAGGCTCCCAACAAATGTTTACGAAAACATTTGTTTTCTTACAGTCAGTTTGATTTTGAAAGTTAGGCCTATGCCTGAGTACAAGGACGGTGTCTTTGGGACTCCGTTACTCCCCCAACCTTCTGAAAACCAAACACACATCTTAACCCTGGCCCCACACATGACACGACTCACCAGAAACAAGCACCATAATGAGAAGTCAGGCCTTTCAGGTATGTCACTCTGAGACCACCCTACTAGAGGGGGCCCTAAGATCACAAAGCCAAGGTCCCTTATGGCAACCCTGGTAATTAGACACTAATAATGGGTTGAAGGTGTAAAATTCACCTCAGTGCACCACCAACAGACTAAACAATCCAGATGAAGAGGGAAAGATTTTCATGAGGAGGAGGGAGAATTAATTATAACGCGACCAGGAAGCTTGCAAAAGCAAACCAACTTTGACAAACGTAAGGGAATAGCAATGGCTATTTTGAAACTAATGGCATTCGATCTGAGTGAAATCCCCAGACCTCGTTATGAATCATTAGAATGCTGATATTTTATGAATTAACTTGAGTTTTAATTTCCTTCTTCGTATTGCCAACTTCTACAGTCACCGCGGTGTCTGATATTTTTTTTCATTCATTACTTTGCTCTTCACAAAGACAACTTGGTTTCACTCACAAGGAGGGAAAGAACCCCAACCCCCCC